GAGAGAGAGAGAGAGCCGGTAAAGCCAGCCAAGTGCGCACACTTCGCCGCGCATCTGAGCTTATCCAACGCCCACCAACCATTACCAAGTCGATCGACCAATTGGGCGATCTGGTAGCCGCCCACCGATCTGGCCCGCTCGCTACCACATCGCCCACGCTTTTAAAGAGCAGCCTTCCGATCATCTCTGTAACCGGCGCAACGCCGTCATTGCAATTCTTGTCGTCGGTCGTTGTCAGGACTGCCGTATGTAGTTTCGATATCGGACATCGGATGTCAGATGGAGGACACCCTCGGCGATAACCGATGATTGCCTGGTTTAACCTGACCTGGAAATCTCCTCTTTCATGCGGATAAAACTAGGGGATACGAAATAATTATCTGCAAGTGCTCCGTACAGAAAGGTCTATACAAGAGAGATACTGCTTATATTGCTCTTGAGATAACGAGCTGGCGCTAGAGCGTCGTTAATGGCGTATGATTTCGCAAATCATCGGCTGCAACGACCAACGTAGCACTTAGCCGAGTGTATTTGTACCTGGAAGGCAAATCTCTTTGAAGAATGACAAATTTGAATGGGCAGAAATTGCTCTTTGTTGTTTTAATTGTGGTTTTAATAAGAACATATTATATATATGATATATAAGACAAATATATATCTATATTTAGAGAAATTATTATATATATATATATATATATATACACATACTTGATTATAATTTGATAATTTTGTCTAATATTTTTAGTCATAGTTTTCAGTATCAAGAGAAAATATCAAATATATTTATAATTATTATTTTGCAGTATGGCAAGATGATGAGTTTAAGTTTTCTCGTAATAGAAAGGATTTTATTTATAATATTATATACAGGATCATTAAATTCTGTATCATAAAAGTTGCTTAAATTTGACTAAGGAATATTGCCATAAGATATTTTTTACTTCAGATTTGTCATACCCAAATGTTAACTTATTATTAATGACATTATAATCTCAATATATTGATAAACTCACTATCAGAATTCCAAAAATAACTTGTGATTTTGTATTCGACAAAAATTTATGAGGACGCAAATAGTTCGTGAAATTATATTCCCTCATTGATAATTTTTTTATCTTGCTTAATTTAAATTCAGTTTTTCTGAAACTTCTATTTAGTTAAAGACAAAGATATAGATAAAATAAAATGCAAAATCTGATAATTGTTACTTATTTGCATATCGTTAGCATACATATCGATGTGTCAATTCTTTAAGAAAAATTAGATCGGTCGACTTCAAAGAGACGCGTATAAATAATAGTTATATACCTATAATTCATATGCTATAGCTATTTAACATGCATTACGAGTATATCTATGCAGTATATCCAAGATAGTCATGTTAGTAATATAACTCATGGTGATATAGATAATTGTTGATGGGGAGAGGCAGAAACTGATAACAGTAATTTGGAGCAATGAGACCATTACACTCTACTGCTTTCTAAATATAGCAATATATTTAATAATGGCTTCCAACAACGAGGTGTTTCCATGGTATTTGTGTCTTCTTTAATATTATCTATTTATTACTTAAGTCTAATAAATAAAATACCAAATATTTATTTTAAAAGTCTTATAGGCTGTTATTACATTGGAAGGATATAACTATTAGGATTCCATTATGAAAATGAGATCATATTTTTTTCCGCTTTTATCAATTAATGCATCATACATTTCAATAAATCATACAGATCTGCCGGAAATTCAAAAATCCATTTTTGGTTCCAATAACGTTAGATTTAGGAAGAATTTTATTATTTCACAGATAATGTTCTTTTTCGAACAATTGCTGCAGTTATATTACTTAAATAGATGATTCGAGTACAAGTAAGTACAGATTAAATTTCTTAAGATCTAATTTCTTTTTCTACAACTATATTAAATGAAGTCTGAATTAGTTCAAATCGACAACGTGTCTTGAATGAACATTCTCAAATATTTGTTTTTTGGGAACGAACGTTATATCCACATAAGTCAGATGTTTCCAGAAGTCTAGATGTTCAATACTGGCAAGTTGCATAAACGCTACTAATAAGTTCTTGATTGATTAATAAGATTAATTGTCTAAGCAGCTGAATAAATCGATTTTCATTTCACCAACTGTTGGATTAAGAGTAATGAAGTTATCTGAAATAAAAAAAAAAAAAAAAAACAAGTAGCATTTCCTT